GAGTCCCTGGATCAAGTCCCGCATCGGGCTCCCTGCTCGGCAGGGAGTCTGCTTCTCCCTCTGACCCTCCCCCCTCTCCTGCTCTCTCTCTCTCTCTCATTCTCTCTCTCAAATAAATAAATAAAATCTTTAAAAAAAAAAAGTGAAAAAAAAACAAAATGGGAGAATTCTGTAAACCATATGTCTGATAAGGGTCTTGTATCTAGATTATATAAAATACTCTTACAATTAAATAATAATAAGATAAACAACCCAATTTAAAAATGGGCAAAGGACCTGAATACACATTTCCCCAAATAAGATCTATAAACAGCCAATAAGCACATGCAAAGATGTTCCCGGCCATCAGGGAAATGCACATAGAAACCACGAGATACCACTTCGTATCCATGAGATGGTTATAATCAAAAAGACAGTTAACAACCAGTGTTGGCGAGGATGGGGAGACACAGAACCCCAGCATGTAAAATGGCGCAGCCACTTAGGAAAACAGTCTGGAAGTTCCTCAAAAAGTTAAACACAGAATTACCAAATGACCCAACGTTTCCACCTCTAGGTGTATACCCACGAGAAGGGAAAATGAGTCCACACAAAGACTTGTACACAAATGTTCACAGCAGCATTGTTCATACGTGGCCAAAAATGGAAACAACCCAAATGTGCATCAACTGCAGAATGGATAAATAAAATGGGGTCTACTCATACAATGAAATTTTATTTGGCAATAAAAAGAACAAGACACTGATAACATGCTACAGGATGGAGGAACCCTGAAAACATTATGCTGAGTGAAAGAAGCCAGTCCCAAAAGACCACATAATGTAGGACTCCATTTATATGGAATGTCCAGAATAGGCAAATCTGTAAAGACAGAAGGTAGATTAGTTGGGCCCTAGCTCTGGGGAGGAGGTGGGGATTTGGGAGTTAAGACTAAGGGGAGCATTGCCCATTCTTTCAGTGATGAAAATGTTCTGGGGCACCTGGGTGGCTCAGTTGGTTAAGTGTTCTACTCTTGATCTCAGCTCAGGTCTGGATCTCAGGGTCAGGAGTTCAAGCCCCACGTTGAGCTCCACACTGGATGTGGCGAGAGAGAGAGAGAGAGAGAGAGAGAGAGAGAGAAGGGGGAGAGAGGGAGGGAGAGAGAGTGAGAAGGAGAGGGAAAGGAAGGAAGGAAGAAAGAAAGAGAGAGAGAAAGAGAAAGAAAGAAAGACGGGAGGGAAGGAGGAGGGAAGAAAGGGAGGGAGGAAATGAGGGAGGGGGATGGGGAAGGAAGGAAGGAAGGAAGGAAGAAAGAAGGGAGGGAAGGAAGGGAGGGAGGAAATGAGGGAGGGGGACGGGGGAGGGAAGGAAGGAAGGAAATGTTTTAAAATTGTGTTGATGGTTACACAACTCCGTAATACTACAAACCACTGAATCATATACTTTAATGGGTGAATTATATAGTATATGAATTACATCTCAATAAAACTGTCAAAAACAATCCTAATAGAGCACATGAGTGGTGCTATTATCGAATCACAGGGTCTTTGGGTCCACGGAGCTCCAGTGGCTGCGGAAGCTCTTTGCAATGCTACCCAAGTTGACGGACGGAAGGAAATGGGATGATGAAGAAAGGCTTTTAATCTAATTTTCATCGGATTCCTGTCTCCATAGAAGCAACCAGTATTTACTGAGCATCCTCTATGAGGCAGGCCCTGCTGCAGGTGCTAAGACTTTATCAGCAAGCAAAACAAACAAACAAACAAAAACTCCCTGCTCTCAGGACAGACAGACCTTAAATATGAAAACGATAGATGGTATCTCAGGTGAGAGAAGAGCTGGCGGGAACTGGGGACTGCTGCTATTTCCAGTAGAGCAGTTAGGGAGGGCTTCTCTGAGCAGAAGCCTAAAGGAAGCGAAGGTGGGCGCCATGTGGGTATTAAGGGGACAGCAGGTGCAAAGGCTGGAGGGTTGGGGCGTTAGGCGCACGGAGCAAAGAAACCAGCATGGCTGGGCTGAGAGCTGTAGGAGAGACAGAGAGCTGGGAGGGGAGCAGACCACAGGAGGGGCTCTGGCTCCTATTCAGGATGGGCGGGTGGGAGCAGAGACGATGGCACAACCTGATCTGTTTTCCAAGAAACGCTAAACCGACTGAGCCACCCAGGCATCCGGAGATTTTTTTTTTTTTTTTTTAAGATTTTATTTATTTATTTGACAGAGAGAGACATAGCGAGAGCAGGAACACAAGCAGGGGGAGCGGGAGAGGGAGAAGCAGGCTTTCCGCCGAGCAGGGAGCCCGATGTGGGACTCGATCCCAGGACCCTGGGATCATGACCTGAGCCGAAGGCAGACGCTTAACGACTGAGCCACCCAGGCGCCCTCCGGAGATCTTTTTAAACAGGTTTTTTTTTTTCAGTAATTTTGCCAAGTCCACAAGTTTCTAGTGTTAGTGGGCTATAGTTTTGGTTACAAAGACAGCATATTCAGTGCTTTGTTTTGTTCTTTAAGTTCATCGTGTATAGATGGAGCACTCCATGAGTCAATTTCCATTTTTCTCATCCTCAGATTCACTTGTTTGGAAAGTCTCTGACCCAGAGTAACATGCTTGTAACGGAAACTTTGCAGTAGCTGAACATAGATGCTTACTGAGATTCACACAGGAGCGGATCTGTACAAATCTGTAGAGTATCAGTATGTCTTTTCACAGAAATTGACTATTTAAATCACTGATCTCAATCTCAATGTAAAAATGATTCATACTCGGGTTATTTTAAATAAGGTAACAATATCACATCAACAAAACAATATTTCAGGACTTAAAAATAGCCGAATGCTAAAAACTGAGATCACAATGACTATTATTCCTGTTTTAGAGACAAAGACCTGACAGTTGACATAATTTGCCTGATGTCACACCACTAGTAGTTAGTGGCTTGGCCAAGATTAAACACAAGCAGTTTGAAATGCAATGCACAGGCCTCACCAGTAACACAAAAGGTTCCCAGAGAAAGTGGCATCTGGGTTGGGCCTTCAGGGGCAGCCCCCACCCCCAGGACTCCCGGGAACTGGTAAAGACTGGGATATGCACTCTGTAGAAGGAGTTAGGGAGCAAATTAGGACCAAACTCATGAGGACAACCTCAAGAGAGACTGTGCGTCTAACTTTGCCAGGGAGGCATGTGTCATGTGGATGGAACTTTCTAGGGCTGGCTTCCATCCTCTGGATCCTGGGTGGGAGGCAGGCTGTATGCTGGAGACCCAAAAAGAAGGGAAAGGGTTTCAGCTAGCAGTAGTGTGGCCCGAGACTGGCCCTGGGTGCTGGCTGGATAGAGAAAGGAGGATTAAGCCTGAAGTAAAGGGATGACCCCTGGATGGTCCCAGTACTGGGAGGGCCCCAGCCATCAGCCTTTCTAGAAGTCTTCCCTCTTTTTATTTCATTAATGATAGATTACCCCCCTTCTCCCTCATGTAGGGCCCTGTGGGAGATGACAGAGAACTCCCAATATGGGTTCCTGTCCCCCAGGATTTCACACTGGGAGACTTCATAATAAAAAGATGTAAGGCCACTCGAGAATAAATATTAAGGTCTCAGTAAAACTGCAAGAAAATAAATAAAAATAATAAGGTTTCCATCTAGTCAAGTCAAGCATTTAGGTACGTTTTAAGAGTAATGGAGTTATGGGGCAGAGAGGTGGAGGGAAGGTCCAAGTTCAAACTCTGCAAGGAGAGAAGAAACCAAGTAGCCATAAGGATGCCAGGCACATAGGAGATGAGGGCTCAATACAAATTACTGTGCACCAGGAATCTTCCCAACATTTCCTCATCTAATCTTTACAGCGCTTAGGAAGTGGGTGATATCCTCCCCTTTAACAGATGATAAAATTGAGACACTAAAGAGGCTAAGTAACTTGCTCAAAGTCACACAGCTAGTAAGAGGCAGAGCCCAAGTAACTTGGGGTCTATCGCACAGTAAAGTGGTTTTATCACTTGGAGATAAAAAGAGATGAAAGCAAAAAATGACTTAATAGCTGCTGTCAATCCCAGCACCGGGATAAAGTAGCAAAAAACTGCCTAAATATAAAAGTACTGAGCATACAGTGCAAAAATCCCGAGGTTCTTTTAAATTGTGTCTAGATACAATCTCGATCACAAAGCTGAGAAAGCACCAGTGTAATTAATTCTCATTGCATATCCACGCTGTGCTACAGCTAGATGAAATTCAAGTCAGTGTTGAATTCTTTCCCAGCGCGATGACCTCTGCAAAAGGGAGATGCGCCGACTCTTGCTAGTTCAGCAAACTATGCTCTAATCTCAACACCGCCACCCACCACCAACACCGAAGCCGCGAGTAGACAGGCCCCAGAAGGCGGGATTCCTAGCTGCACCCCCATCGCCTTGCACGCTCGGATCCTCACCCCTTCCGGGCCTTTCATCCCTGTGCATTCTCAGCAAGTGCCCAGCTCGGGGGGGGGAGGTGCGCTCCCTGGAGGAGGTGGCCCTTACTTTGGTGTAGGCGGGCGACCCTTTGCCCAGGAAGAGGGTGTCGGAGTGGGGCCAAGCGAAGCAGGCCTCCGGGGGCCCTGCCAGGTCTGGAGTACAAAATGCTAAGCGACAGCAGGCAGCGCAGCGAGCCGGGCGCAGGGTCCCGGGCCAGCCCCAGGAGGGGCCGTCGGAGCGTGCCGAGGCAGCCACCCGAGCTTCCCGAGGGAGAGCACGGCCCGCGCGCACGGGCGGGGCGGGGCG